GAATGTGTTGCAGATCCCTTTACCTAGGCTGACTTCGGATCACTTGCCTATCTTGCTAGATGGGTGCAGAGGGAGGGGGGTTNGTTAATCAAAATAAAACAGGTGATGTAGTGGTGTATCAGAGAAGGGGTCGAGTGGGTGACACGGAGAAAGGGACCTCGTCAGGGGGGGTGGGGAAATGGGGGCTATTGTTGCTTATGGAAGTTAAGATCCTTTCATGGAATGTCAGGGGGATGAATGACCCGAACAAAAGGGCCATCATCAAAGTGGGAGTTAGGGAGTGGGGTGCCAACCTAGTTTGTTTTCAGGAGACCAAAATGGAAGTTTTGTCGGATGCGATCGTGAGAAGTCTCTGGGGAGGTAGTTGGGTGAAATATGACTGGGTCCCTGCAGCGGGAAGTGCCGGGGGTATTCTACTTATGTGGGATGATAGAATTTTGGAGGTAAAGGAGATTAGGAAGGGAGCTTTCTCTTTGGCAGCTCTCGTCAAAGATAGAGTGAGTGGAATGGAGTGGGGATTTGGGGGAGTGTATGAGCCGGTAGGGGAAGGGTCCAAAGTGTCTTTCTGGGAGGAACTTGCTAATATTATGGGGGAATGGGACATTCCATGGGTTATAGGTGGAGACTTTAACACAATTAGATTCCCGGAGGAGAGATTAGGGTGCAATGTGATTTCGAGGGCCATGGAGGAGTTTTCTGACTTCATCAATGATCACTTTCTCATTGATCTTCCTCTGTCAGGGGAAAGGTTTACTTGGGCCAGGGCGGAGGATTCAAACTCAAGGTCCAGACTCGATAGATTTCTGATATCGTCCTCTTGGGATGAGCTGGTGCCGAATGTGTTGCAGATCCCTTTACCTAGGCTGACTTCGGATCACTTGCCTATCTTGCTAGATGGATGCAGAGGGAGGGGGGTCTGTGCTCCCTTCCGGTTCGAGAACATGTGGTTGAAAGTGCCAGGATTTTGTGACAAAGTGAAAGAATGGTGGACCAATTACGGGATATCAGGGTCACCCTCATTCCGTCTGTCGAAGAAACTCAAATTGCTCAAGGGAGATATTATTAGATGGAACAAGGAGGTCTTCGGGAGGGTGGAGGTCAAAATGAGGGAGCTTATGCATGAATTGGGGGAATTAGAGAGAGGGGAAGGGGCGAGGGAGCTAGATGAATCTGAGAAAGTGAGATTGGGGGAGGTTAAGAGTGAAATAGTCGAGCTAGCAATAGCTCAGGAAACTAGTTGGCGACAAAAATCAAGGGCGCTCTGGTTAAAGGAGGGGGATTCGAATAGTAAGTTTTTTCACAGGGTTGCGATTGCAAATCGAATGAGAAACTTCATAGAGTCCTTAGTAGTAGATGGGGTGAGGATCGAGGGAGAAGAGGAGGTAAAAGGGGCGATAGTGGGGCTTTATGAGAACTTATACAAAGAGGAAGTTAGTTGGAGGCCTACTTTGGGGGGAATAGAGTTCAACCACATAGGGGAGGGAGACAATGAGTGGCTAGAAAGAGCTTTCGAGGAGGAGGAGGTGCACGATGCTGTGTCGAGCTGTGATGGTGATAAGGCCCGTGGGCCTGATGGTTTCTCCTTGGCCTTCTTCCAGCTCTGTTGGGGCACTGTTAGGGGGGAGTTGATGGAAGCCATCGAATACTTCCACGTGAATGGTGCTTTCGAGAGAAGCATCAATGCTTCTTTTATTACCATTGTGCCTAAGAAAGAAGGCGCATCTTGTATCAGAGACTATAGGCCTATCAGTCTAGTGGGGAGCATTTACAAGATTATTTCTAAAGTGCTCTCCAACAGACTAAAGAAGGTTCTTGACGTGTCTGTTTCGTCCTCCCAGAATGCGTTTGTGGAAGGTAGGCAGATACTGGATGCTGCTCTGGTGGCAAATGAACTTGTAGACTCAGAAGGAAAAATAGAGAATCCGGATTAATGTGCAAGTTGGACCTTGAGAAGGCTTTCGATCATGTCAATTGGGAGTTCCTGGACTTCATTATGAAACGGATGGGGTTTGGGGAAAGATGGAGGGGATGGATCAAGTTTTGCATTTCATCAGTCAGATTCTCTGTCCTGGTTAATGGTAGCCCGTGTGGTTTCTTTGGCAGCTCCAGGGGGCTCAGGCAAGGTGACCCCCTATCCCCCATGCTATTCATTTTAGTGATGGATGCTCTGAGTAAAATGATGGATCGTGCGGCGAGTGGAGGCTTCTTGAGAGGTTTCTCAGCTCCGATCGGGGTGCTCAGTGCCCGAAGGGTCTCTCATTTGCTTTTTGCGGATGACACCCTAGTTTTCTGTGATGCCGATATGGATCAGTTGACCTGCCTGAAGCAGGTACTGCAGTGGTTTCAGATAATATCAGGACTCAAAATCAACCTCGGCAAGTGTGAGATTTTCCCGGTGGGTGAGGTTGCTAACATTGATGCTTTGTCGCATGTTCTCGGATGCAAGATGGGCTCTCTCCCCACTACTTACCTGGGTCTACCGTTGGGTGCTTTGAAAAAGGATACTACTGTTTGGAATCCAGTCATTGAAAGGGTTGAAAAACGATTAGCAGGCTGGCAGAAACGGTATTTGTCAAAAGGCGGTAAGGAAGTGCTTATTAAAAGCACTTTGTCAAGTATCCCTACCTATTACTTATCCCTGTTGCAAGCACCTGTGAGCATCACAGAAAAACTGGAGCGACTTCAAAGGAATTTTCTCTGGGATGCGGCAGATGGAACTAGAAAGTTTCATCTAGTGAATTGGCAGACAGTCACTTCCCCAAAGAAGTGGGGTGGACTTGGAGTAAAAGATCTCAGGGTATTCAACAGAGCTTTGCTGGGGAAGTGGCTGTGGAGATTCGGGGTAGAAGAGCATGCTCTATGGAGGGAGGTCATAGCAGAAAAGTACGATTCCACGGGAGGGGGTTGGAGGACCAAGGCAATCACAGCACCGTTCGGGTGTGGCATGTGGAGGAACATCATGAAGAACTGGGAAGCTTTCTATGGCAACATCACTTACAAGGTGGGAGATGGAAGGAGAATCAGCTTTTGGAATCACAGGTGGTGTGGAGAGGCTACTCTGAGGGTCTCTTTCCCCCACGTCTTCAGAGTTTCAAACCAGAAGGAATTGATGGTCCAACAAATTCGCAAGGAGCATGAAGGGGAGAGAGTATGGGACCTCTCTTTTAGAAGGAACATGCAAGATTGGGAGATTGCGGAGCTCCAAAATTTGTTGGCACTGCTATACGGACAAGATATGTCCCATCCATCTTATGATTCTTGGAGATGGGGGTTGCGTGATGATGGCTTGTTCACCGTAAAGTCCTTCTACCAGAGTATGTTGGTGAGACAGGAGGCTACTTTCCCATACTCATCGATCTGGATTCCTAAGGCGTCCACGAAGGTGTGCTTCTTTGCATGACTAGTAGCGAGGGGAGTGATCTCGACATCTGAAAATCTGCGAAAGAGAGGAATTACACATGTTAGTTGGTGCTACATGTGTAAAAGCTCAGGGGAAGAAGTTGATCATCTTATGCTGCATTGCCCTGTGTCCTGGAGTTTATGGAGGGCAATCCTGAATCTTTTTGGTGTCCAATGGGTGATGCCAAACACTGTAAAGGAAATGCTATATAGCTGGGCCGGTTTCCGTAGAAGAAGCAAGCAAAAGGCGTGGAAGTTCGTCCCGTTAGCTCTCATGTGGTTAGTCTGGGGAGAGAGAAATAAGAGAGTTTTTGAGGGGATTGAGTCTCCGTTTTCACATCTTAAGAATAGTCTTTTATTTTTGATCGCTTTTTGGTGCACACATGTAGCACCTACTTGTGTAGAAGATTGGACGTCATTTGTAGAGAATCATGTTCTGATGTAAATTCTCTACTTTTTGTATACTTCTTATATGCGGGAGCTTTTTTTCTCCCTTTTGATTAATACAATTTACCTTATCAAAAAAAAAAATGGTAAAGTAATTCTTGTTCTCCGTTGCTTATGCATTCTGACACTTATATAGGTATGGGAGCCCGATACTGAACATCAAGTGGCATAAAACGCTTAACACTGAACGAACAAAGTTAATAACTGCTGACAGCCACATTGTTAGGATTTGGGACCCTGAGACGGTATGCAAGTCTTTGATCCTCTTTGTTGATATTTGTCGTTTATATTAGTAATTATGTAGTTTAGACAAGATCATTTCAGTTTATTGTATTTATATGCTGGACAATAGAGTGCAGTACTCAATTATTGATTTTGGCCTTTGTTTTTTCTGCTGCCTTTGCTATATGTGAAGTTATTAATGAATTGATTCAGCAAAGTAATCAAGACGTACTTTGGCGGGTCTGGTAAGAAGTTAATATTCAGGTGCAAGGGTGTGTTACAGATTTCAAAAAGAAAAAGAATTAGAAGGCAAGGGAACGAGGAAAGAAAGAAAACGGGAAGGATATGACAAGGAGTGAAACTTTTTATGAAAATGTTTGTTATATAATTTAGCTTATTGATTATCAGTTAATCTAATCTGCAAAATCTGTCAAACTTCAAATTTCCCTTAAACGGTCCTACTTATTCTGCCAAGACATTTTTCTTTTGATTATTTTGTTCTTCTTGTGGGCAAGTGGCCCTCCTTTGATGTAGTCAGGGGCGTATCCATGTGTTCGAGCATGGGGCACGTGAACCCGTGATACTCTCTCTATATCATGTATAATAATGTTATATTTCTTAAAAATTGCTTAAATATACATGTGTGCACCCAAGCTCAAAGGGTCATATGGTTCAACAATTACAGGGTGCACCTTTACAAGTGAAGTTAGATGTTCAATTCTTAGTTTGTAGACATGTCTAGTGTCTCCTCTTGTGTTTTAATTAAGTAGTTTTTTCTTTTTTTTTTATTTGGTTTATTCATTCAAAATTCCCAAATCTAACACATTGAAATCCTTGATCTCCCTTTGTCATCGCAAAATTTTATATAATCTATCTATATAGCAATGGATGATGTAGCATGGTTCAATGATCTCAACATTTTTGATATGGAGTATATGTATATATGTTAAATATCACTAGAATTATAAGAAAAAAATATAATTTTAACCTATAATTTCTAAATGGTATTGGATTCATGGTAAGAACCTAAAGGTTGAATCCATCAGATATAAATTCTAGATTTACCTCTTTATAATAGTGCACCCATCTTCTTGGAATTTTGGATTCACCTCTGGTCATGTAGTAGAAGTTTGGAGCAGTCCTTAGAGCTCATATTTCTTCATATCTAAGCTATGAATTGGGTTGATATGATTTTTGGACGATTAATGATTTAGGGATTTACTTAACTTTAACAATAAAAAAATGACCTACGGAATGTTGAAGTGCTATGTAACTTGAAAAGACGTTGGTAATATAACTTTTGTGCTGGGATAATAGTGAAGCAATAGAGAAAAGGAAGGTACACCATAGGAATTACTGCTAGATCTCTTGGGCATCATCACAATAAAAAAACTATGTGTAGTGGAGATTATGGTGGTTATTGTTTTAGATAAACAGCAGGTTCAAAGACACGAACTATATAGAATCACAACCGTTTGCCACTTTGAAATCAAGGTTGGCTTGTCTCTGTTTTTGTCCTTCTTGGACCCGCATTAGGATATCATACAATTAATATTTATGATTATCTGCAATAGTCTTACGATAATGTTCATGTATGAGGCGGTAGAACACTAATTAGATATTGCTTATGTTTCTACAATTAAGTTTAATCTAAGTTTCACATTTGGCATTGAACTCTTACAGGGAGAAGGCATGACAAGCATTGAACCAACGGGTGGGAGAATCAACGATTTGTGTGCATTCACTGACAGTGGATTGATGTTATTGGCTCTTGACTCCAGTCAAATACCTTCGTATTTCATTCCTTCACTGGGGCCTGCGCCCAAGTGGTGTTCATACCTTGAAAACCTGACGGTGTGATGTGCTCCTTATTTTGTTACCTTGTCATGCCAGAGACGATGGTTATTCTGATTTGAAATTTATTTGCAGGAAGAGCTTGAGGAGCAACCCCAGACAACTATTTATGATGATTTTAAATTTTTGACGAAAGAAGATCTGGAAAAATTGAATTTGACCCATTTGATTGGAACCAGCCTTCTAAGGGCTTATATGCATGGTTACTTCATCGATTATCGTTTGTATAAAAAGGTGACAATTAGATTGAATTTGTGTACTAACTTTAAATGATTGGCCTTGTGATCAAACTTATGTGCATGCTGATGCTTTGCTCTTGCAGGCACAAGCCTTTTCAGATCCATTTGATTATGTTGCTTACAAAGAGCGGCGGAACCAGGAAAAACAAGCGGCAGAGCGTGCCGGTCGTATCACGGTTAGTTTCATAATGTCTGGGATTGACTTTTTGCAAGTGTACACATGTCTCATATCTTTTTCTATGCAGACTTTTACACTAGCATCAAGTGGAAGACATTTTCGTGTCCCTTATTTCAATTTAGTATTTGGCCTTTGGGTATTTTGCTTTCCATAGATTTTTCAGTAATAACAATAGATTACAATGGATGTATAAGAACCATGTTATTTATACCAGCAATCCAACATAAAAAGCTAAACTTCATGTGTGTGCCTACATGTGTATATATTGGTGGTCTAGCCACATTGCATCTTTAACCTGTTTGATATTCCTTGCAAATCAATATTTATATGTTGCGGGCCATACTTATGGAAAGGAGTGATAAATCAGTGAGTCCATCATGAAGAGACTTTTGGTGCATGGTAAAATAGCCTTGTAGCAACATTGGCTTTTAAAAGGAAAAAAATGGTTAGGCACACGTCACAAGTTCGAAACTTGACTGTGAACCAAATCCGGTATTTGAGTGGAAAATGGTAGATGGCGGGCCTTTATCCCCAAGTGTGGAAGCTGAAACAGCTAATTTTTGGTCAACAAAAGAAAGGCAAAAAACTTTGGAGGCCTTGGCTTAGTGTGTTTTTTGCTGACCCCTTCTTCCACTGGCTCTTATTCCGAGCGTCCCAATCCCCCAAATTGAAAAAGGGAAGGAATACAAATAAAACCTTGAATTTGGAGGATTCTGATGCTTGCGCTTTTTTCGGATCCTTTAGCGTATTTTGTAGACTGAACATTCTCCTTTTTCAAGTATGGTTGATTGTTCAGCTCGTTTTGAGCTGAAATGATATGGTTTACTCATGAGCAGATATAGCTTTCGCAGCTGGTGCGAGGGGCCATTGCCTTAAGCTTATAGCTGGAAAACTTCTAAAAAATAGTATAATTTGCACCTAATAGTACCCAAGGGTGTGACCTAGTGGTCTATGAAGTGGGTTAAGAATCGTGAGGTCTCAGGTTCAAATTCTAGCGTAGACAAAAATACTAGGCGTTTTTTCCATTTGTCCAAGCCTTGGTGGACAAAGTTACCCGGTACCTGTGCTGATGGGAGGTAGTAGGTACCCCGTGGAATTAGTTGATGTGCGCACAATCTGGCCCATACTCCACAATTATAGAAAAAATGGTCAAAAAAGTTATGGGTGTATTGGTGCCTTGCACTCATTGACTTAAAATCCTGGATAGGTCAGCTTGAGTAAAGTTTGCATCACCTAAATTCAACTAAAAGATGGAGCAAATCTTGATAAGGGAAACATCACCGGGAAAAATATGGACTTTCACTAGATGACCATGAGCCCATGAGAAAGAAGCTCTTGTGCTCTAGTTAGGCTTTTTGAAGTTGCTACGATAATTTATATGCCAATTGTCTGGCATCAAGTAATTACTGGATGCTAGAGAATTTTGGGTTTTACTCTTGTATTTTGTGCTAGCAGAAGATTGGAAATATTATCCTTTGTGCTTCAAATTATTAAAGATTCAAATCAGACGGCTGTTACATGTCTCTCAATAAGGCCCCTACTATTATCTTTAGTCATTTCTACTCATGGTTCTTGTGGTGAAATCTACTTTTACTGTTTCACTGCAATCAAAGTTGTGTGCTTCTCAAACTGAATGAAAAGGGGGGAAGCAAGTTTCTTACTTAACTAGACCTCTGCATGTATGTGTCATTTGAAGGGAGTTTCTACCTTTTCAGAATACCTGTCTCACATTTTGTCATTCCTCTGCAGATTAAGAAGAAGCTCCCCAAAATTAATCGCACTCTGGCTAAAGAACTTCTTGAGAATGAAGAGGCTGAGAATATGGAGGATGTTGATGGCGTTGATGCGAAGAAGATATCAAAGAAGAAGAAAGGACTGACCACTGACATTCTGAAAGATGAACGTTTTGGTGGGATGTTTACTAATAAGGTATACAAAGTCTTTACTATGAATCTTATGCACTTCCTAGTGTTGAAGAACCAGTCCAAAATATCATCAGATTAAGTTGGCACTTCCTAGTCTTTACTATGTGCTTGAATTGAAAATTTCTTAGAAAGCTGGTCAAGCATTCTCAACAAGAAAAGTGTGCTTAGTACTTTTTAGATGTTGTCCCTGATAAATATATTTTTAACCAATTGCTTTTATAGTTGCATACTCCTCTACTAGTTAAAAATGCATTCTTTAAACAGATCCCAATACCCTTAAGTTTTTTGATGTATTTTGTTTTTTTCAACAGGACTTTGAAATTGATGAATTTTCTCATGAGTATCGGGCACTGCACCCTATGCCTTCCACAAAGCAACCGTCTTTAGTGGAGGAACATTTTGAGCCTGTGATGGATGGTGAGGAACCTAGTGATTCTGATGTGTCTCCCGCAACACAATCATCAGAAGATGAACAAGAAAATGAAAAAAATTCTAGAAAAAAGTCCAAAGTTCCAAGGTAAGAAGTCAATGAATGCCCTCTTAATTCATGCCACATTTAGACTACAAGTTGTTATGCACCATGCTGCAAGTGAAGTTCAAGGAATAGCAGTTGGTTGACTCCTGATAATGGGCATGTTTAACCTCTAATGTTTCTTACATAGACAAGTTTTGCATGGGTTTATACAAATTTTGTGGATTGAATGTACCTTTTTCTTTTGGGGATTGCAACAGTAATGTGGAATAAACTTTCTTATGAGACCAGAACATATCCTGAAACCTTTTATTGCTGCTTTAGAAAAATTAAAATAGCTGTATGTCTCACTATCCTTTGAAATTTCAGAATGTATGAAGTCAAGGATGAGAGGCATGCAGAAGCATTCTGGAACGATGTTTCACTTGCGAAGGAGGATGCTCTTCCACTAGGTGAACGGGTTGCAGCCTTGTCAGATGACCGAACTTCTCATGGTATGAACAATATCAAGGTGGGACCCGGAGGTTCAAGAGAAGTTTCCTTTATTTCCAGAAGCTCAGCAAAGTATGTGGAAGATGAAGAAGACAAGGGAGCACGAACTGAAAGGAGAAGAGGGATCCAGTCCTTGAAACTGAAGCCTGAGAGATCAGGTTTTCGGGGTTCGGGTTCCCGAGGCCGAGGGAGAGGAAGAGGTCGTGGAATGGGCAGAGGAAGAGGGCGGCGATAAATTTTTCATACAGTATTAACAACCAACTTTTGTGTCAAAGTAAGGAACTATTATTCCTTAAACTTGTTTGATGTCTTACTTATATGATTAATGCAGAATGGGCAGAGGAAGGGGTAGACACGACATGCTTTTGTTTCATGCTGCAAATCTACGCCATTTCATACACCAGTGCAAATATGAGTCAAGAAAGCAATGAGTTCTCAGTTAATTTACCTGTCTTTTGCAGTCATTTACTTGACATGTGACTGAGAGTTGTGACTTCTTTCTGCCACAGCCTAATAATCACACTTCTAATAGATGTTTTCTGGAAACCTAAAATTTTGGCCATGAAAATGATCTGATTGTAACCTAGTGTAGTTATCCTTGCACCTTTTGGTACTACCTATACACTTTTGCAAGTACTAATCATTTAACATGATTCATCATGTTGCTGCCCTTAGCATTAACCAATCAATACATTCAATATGTTCTCCTTAAATGTCCAAAGATTCATGTTAACTAGTGATTGATAAAATATGACACTCTTGTACTGGAGCTAACATGTTTAACTCTTTTTGAAATTTTGCATCTTCCTGGTAATGATTTTAACTTACTTCGTCAAAAAAAGGTGATTAATAAAATATTTCTTGCCGTTGGTCCTTGATTGGATTTGCAGATCATGTGGCTTTAAAGCTGACATTTTAGTTAGTCTACTAGTTCCTTGTACTTTTTCCTTTATTCAATCCTTCAAACACCTCCTTAAGTGAACCTGCCACTTGATTACTGCCGAAAATATTGTTTACAATTATTGTTCATAAAGATGAAGGTTCATTTCTTGATGAGGTTTGGTATCACTATAAACAGAAGTGGTCAAATAAGAAATGTGCAAAGTTGAGATTTGCTGTTGGAAAACTCTGCATATGTTCAGTGTCCTTCACTCATTCTTGTCTACTTGGCAGAGGCTATCAGGAGCATCATTATTTATTATTTGCAAATTGCAATACATCCAAAGTGCTCTTTCTCCAGAAGAAATAGTCAAAGTAAGGAAGCTGCCTGTTCTACCTTTAAATGTGTTGATGAACAGCAACGTGATTTTTTTTTGTTGAACTTAAACTATATTTCACCAACATTAAAGTAATCTCCTTAAAAGCAGAAATTCTGAACTGATTAATAGTTTGCTATATCTTGTTTGTGGCAACACATCTGTAATTCATAGGTCATGGAATTTGATTATGAGAGACACAACTCAAGAAATGCATACGCGCTATACAGATGTTCTTCTGACATTTTCTTTTATAATATAGACAGGCTTTTAAGCCCAATTCAGTATCAGCCATCTAAAATTTAGCTTTAGTTTTTTCTGATAAAGTCATCCTCTTCAAGTTCTTTCGCATGAGTCGTTGAAAAGTGGATGGGTTTCAATGCCCAGTTTAGCCGAGAAGTGCCTCCAGAACCTACAAGCACACCTTGTGTTATAGTGCAGTGAAGCAAGGCAAAATGTAAAATAGAACGCGCCTTATCTATAAAAAGACTGAAGTATTGTTTTGTAAAAAGGATATTTTTTTTTGTAGTTTTTATATTGGATCGTATCTCGTACTTTTTCCCTGACCTCCTTCAGAGGTTTTGGTGTGTCATGTGTCATAAAACCTGCACTGTTGCGTACAATGAAGATCGAGAACATAACCATGCATCTTGAATCATCGATCTTGTTATGGCCCATTCCCTTTTGATCTATTTTTACTTTTAACTTCATTCATGTCTCCGTCTGGTGGAATACTATCTAGGGCTGTGGCTCTATAAATTTAACTCTGTAAAATGCTTGCATTTGTACTAGATGCCAGTTTTCTGCTTTGAGTTATTTGAGACTGGTTTACTTACTGTCAAGATGCTACCATGGTCAATTGACAGCTCCCAAGCCCCTCAATTCATTTTTAGCCTTATCATTTATGTTTAGGTTTTGCATCACACTTGTGTTGAAAATTTTAAAATCCGAGTATGAAAATTCAAGTACAATGAACATAGGAATCTTTTCTCCGGTGGTTTAGAAGTAATGTAATTGTTCTAAAATTATTTGCAGTCAACACGTAACTTGTTTAACTAGATTTTGTGATGATTTGTTTGTTGTCCTCCTTTTTCTCTTATTGTGTGTGGCCGATCAGGTACAGAAGGTGTGTGTGACATTCTACAGAGAAAATTGATATTCTTTCTTCTGATCCAGGTACTTAATCTGGAGGCCATTGACAAAAAGTTTACACTGGAGGATTATGGGTTGTAGCGCATACACCGGACTAGGGCTACTTGATGGTTTGATTGGCTGGTACAAGACATTGCATCTCGGATCTATATGTTTTGATTATGTGATGCTTGCATCAAAATTTTGTTTATACATATAAGATAGAATATCCTGTAGGAAAATGTAGTAATGCTTTTGCTTATCCGTGCATTGTTCTACGTGTGGGGAAAATTCTTGTAAGTCTCAATGTTTAAGTTGGAGTTGAGGCCTCTTGTCTACTTATAGATGCATGTTGCCTTTTGATGCCAAGGCATTTCTGAACTAGGAAAGAGTTCAAAGTTTTATACTTGTGACATATTGAATTTGTCCTCAGGCCGAGTTTCATGTAACGCATTTGAGTTCCCTCTCCCAATCGAATGCAATATTTATATCATAGTTTTCGTCTTTCTCTTAGTCTCATTTTGATGGTCGCTCTAGCTATCTAAGATATCCTTAATTAGATATAGGAAGAAGCCTTATGTCACGGGCCCAAATCCTTACATTGGGTAGCGACACCTGCAGTTTCCCTCGCTGCAGGCCAGCTTGTTTCTTTCCCAGGATTCCCAAGCACGATCCTGTGCCTGTTGGTGGGGCTAGCCCGTAGGCTCGCCCCAACCCGTGCTGCCCGTAAGATGTCTAGGCCCTTGGCCCTAGACACGTCATAGCGCTTCATCTTAGGATCACTATCCATGCGCGCCCTGGGGGATTGGCTTAGGACATGTTTTGTCCCTCGCCCAAGACTGAGCATCGCTCCCGTGTGCACAGCCCAATCCTCAAGCTTGACACTCGCCTAGTGCATCCGCGACTAGCTCGTGCCTTGCCCGAGTAAGGCAACCTTTAGCCCTTGGCCATTGTCATGCGCGTCTTTCGTGCCATGCCCATATATTGCCCTCGCGACACGCTTCTATCCCGAATAGTGCAGTGTCGCCCCACAACTGCACCTTTAGGCCAACGAACCCTTGCTTGCATGTTTGAACCCAAGCCATGCTCACAAGTCGACACTTGATGCCCCTATGACAGGTGCATCAAGTATCCAATCGACACGGAGGTCTCGTTCCAACATTCGGCAACCCGCGGGGCTGGCCGTCCCACACATCGAGCCTCCAGCACCACTTTGATGCCCAACGCTAGCCCGAAGGCGTTGCGCCGTCCATAGAGTTCCCAAACTCGTATGGATATCTTTGACACTCCTTTGAGTCATCTAGGCAGGCCCTTGAGGTCTCCCCCAAGGTAGCTCGTTCGATACGGCTTGGTGGCAGCACGTATGGGGGAGGCAGGTCGGAGCTTTCATCACCCATACCCCCCTTATATATGCTTAAAATTTAAAAGCCCAAGTTGCCCGAGTAGACAGTTCTACGTCAGACCATCAGAAGGACCTTTTCTCACCAGTTCTTTGCCGAAATCACAACTACAAAATGCGAGTTGTGACATCCTCCCACACATAATGTCATCGTCCCCGATGACACATCATGGCTTAAGACATCCCGGAGTCTGCCCCCTCAGGTATGCCCATTTCAGCTCCCTTTGTCCTGTGGGTTGGACTTCCTCGAAGTCCTTTTAAGAGAGTCGTGCCCCATGCACTTCTCCCCCAAGTATCTTCCAAGCGTGCCTCTGCACTTCACCTCCATTCGGTATTCACTTGGAAAGTGCTTCCGCACTTGTACCCTCTGGTGTCTAACTTTTTGATTGACCCACACTAGTCAATCACACCATGACCCTCACGGCCTTCATGTCCGTCTGAAGCTTTCCTTTACAGGTTAGCACATCAATGTGCTCTTTTGACGTCGCTCCCGTAGCCTTAGCCTTAAGATGCCCTTGGCATGGCTCCCGTAGCCTTTCGCTCCCGTAGCATTAAGACGCCCTCTTGGCATAGCTCACGTAGCATTCCGCTCCCGTAGCTTTTAATTGCCCTCACTACCTTGAAGATGAGTTCTCTTCGAGACCCACGACTTCGCCCATATGCCTCTTACATAGGCGGGATCCTCCCACACTCAATGTGGAGGATACATCTTAGCGCTGTCGTCCCACTCGACATTCAGCCAGCTCTTGGGACGACCTTTGGTGAGTACTACATTCCCAAAGACATAGCGTCGCCGCATTCCCGAACAAAGCTCTTTGTTTTCCAACTGTCACTTCCTCAACAAGTAGCCAATGCTCCCGGTAGTACTTCAATACTTGCCCTATAGACAGGTACTCTCTTGGTCCTGCTAGCATGACTTCCCGGTTCGGTGTGCCTCGCACCTGGACACCCACGGTCCCCGATCATTCGACATACTCCTTTCCAGAATGACACCTTCTAACTTGAAAATTTGCCCAATTCCGAAGCTTCGCTATACCCTCGAATCCGTTTCCTCACCTTGTCAATGCCCTCAGGCAACTCACAAGTCTATCTCGAAGGAAAGACACTCAACTTGATGTGTTGCACGCATCCTTGGCAAGATCTCCGCTATGATCATGTCCAAGTTTATAGTCCATGGCTCCCACTCTTCGCAATATGGTTGCACGACCTGGCAAACATGGCTTTCTCTTGGCCATCCGACTCATCGGCATATCACCTCATTCAGTAGCACCTTAAACTCTCGAAAGACAATGGAATCACCCATTTCTTTCTTTGACCATCAGTATCAGGTTCTCGATCTCTGGTGGCATATGAACATCAATCTCTGCTTTGACGTGATCTCTGCACTGACATCCAAAATGCACTCGCCATATCCACCCTTTGCCTTGACATTGTGCCATGGCATAGTATGGCCTTAATCAGCTCTGATACCAAGTGTCACAGGCCCAAATCCTTACATTGGGTAGCGGCACCTGCTCGCCCGTGCGGCGCCTGCAGTTCCCCTCGCTGCAGGCCAGCCTGTTTCCTTTCCCAGGATTCCCAAGCACGATCCTTTGCCTGTTGGTGGGGCTAGCCCGTAGGCTCACCCCAACCCGTGCCGCCCGTAAGATGTCTAGTCCCTTGGCCCTAGACATGTCGTGGCGCTTCATCTTAGGTTCACTATCCATGCGCGCCCTGGGGGATTGGCTTAGGACATGTCTTGTCCCTCGCCCAAGAGTGAGCATCGCTCCCGCGTGCACAACCCAATCCTCAAGCTTGACACTCGCCTAGTGCATCCGCGACTAGCTCGTGCCTCGCCCGAGTAAGGTAACCTTTAGCCCTTGGCCATTGTCATGCGCGTCTTTTGTGCCATGCCCATACATTGCCCTCACGACACGCTTCCATCCCAAATAGTGCAGTGTCGCCCCACTACTGCACCTTTAGGCCAACAGACCCTTGCTTGTATGGTTGAACCCAAGCCATGCTCACAAGTCGACACATGATGCCCCTATGACAGGTGCATCAAGTATCCAATCGGCACGGAGGTCTCGTTCTAACATTCGGCAGCCCGCGGTGCTGGCCGTCCCACACATCGAGCCTCTATTACCACTTTGATGCCTAACGCTAGCCCGAAGGCGTTGCACCGTCCATAGAGTTCCCAAACTCGTATGGATACCTTTGACACTCCTTTGAGTCATCTAGGCAGGCCCTTGAGGTCGCCCCCAAGGTAGCTCGTTCGATACGGCTTGGTGGCAGCACGTATGGGGGAGGCAGGTCGGAGCTTTCATCACCTATACCCCCCCTTATATATGCTTAAAATTAAAAAGCCCAAGTTGCCCGAGTAGACAGTTCTACGTCAGACCATCAGAAGGACCTTTTCTCACCAGTTCTTTGCCGAAATCACAACTCCAAAATGCGAGTTGTGACACTTAGCTCTTATTATTTTGTTTAGTTAGTTGCTTAGGATATGAACTTTGTAAGCTGCACCGGAGAACCAAATATTAGTTTCATAAGTTCAGTTTACGAGTTTGATAAAATTTATCGTGGAACTTTTCATAAGACATTACCTTTCTGTGCCTTTCTTTTTCCCTTCATTTGGCTCAGATATTTTTAACATTAAAGGTTATATTTGCTCCTCGTCAGCAGACTTTAGGGATTAAAGATGTTCAGGGAACATATTTAAAGGATAAAAATAGATCTACCCCAAAGATAAGGAATAATTTAGGTTATAAACTCATCACTTTTTCAATACATTATGTAAAATAGGAAATACTGTAGAAACTGAAGAACAAGGCTTTAAAGGGATAGTTTTTATATGTCTTTCAGATAGGGATGTTCATGGTTCGGTTTGGATAAGTTTTTATTACACCCCATGTTTTTGTACGTGAAAGTACGTCGTAAGTCAATTGATGTAAAGCTTGAAAATGAGATCCTCCTTGAAAGTATATAAAGTGATTTAATGATGTTACGTCCAATTTTTGCAAGCCTTTAAGAGTTATTATTCAGGGACAAATGTTTCTAAGGGGACATGTTACACCCCGTACTTTAGTCGTCACTGTCATTATAGGATTAACTAATGTAAGCTCAAAAAGGACGAAATCCTTCTACAAGGATAAGAAAGGTTTACCGAAGTCTTAAGTAAGTTAAGATGAATATGAGACTTGTTAATCATGATTTTAATGATTTTAAAGTCGTGATATGAATATATATGATGTTTGGATATAAAGTTTGGGAAAAATCAGATTTAAGTTGCGGAAAAATAGACTAAGGATTTGTCTTGTAATGAAGCGTTTTGAGCAATACATTTCATGTGTTATATGAGGTATTTTTGGGTCATATTATATACCAAATTGAAGGTATTTGAGTCTAGTTTCTAGCACATTTAACCGTTCGTCGATACGATATCGGAGTAGAGAGATATTCGTGTTTTCGCAGACTGCGCAAGCAATACCCATGAGACCCACAAATTCGGGGTAAAATTCCAGCTTGTATGTAAATCAATTCTGTTTCGTTTTAACTCAATTTTCTGGTCCAAAACAGTTCCTAAATCCTCCTAAATGCTCTCCAATGGTTCCTCCATGATTCTAGGGTGAAAACCTAAGATGAAAATATGAATCCAATGCTAGAAATCTCGTGGTGCTTGCTAGATCGTAGTTCTTCGTCTTGTGGCTGTTTTGGAGTGTTCTTCAAAGGTAAGTAACCTCAGATTTCATGTTGTTCTTGTTGATTAAGGTAATAATCAGTCCCTCTTTCATATATATTAGATTTTCAAGGCGAACTACAAGTGTTTACACACCAACTTGAACACCAAAAGTTGATTCAAGAAGAGAATACAACACCTATAGTATTGCGGTGTTATTAAGGATAGTGGTGGGCTGTGCCTGGATGAAATTTCGTGTTGTTTATACTGTTTAAGGTTAGTATAAAATCCTACTACATGTACTTGAAGTTGTTTGTGTGTTGGTTGCATTATTTGAGCAAAATACTACAAGAGGAGACTTAAAATAGTTTGAGATGTTATGAGTTTTAATGGACTGTTTTGGAAAGGTTGTTTCCATGAACTATAAATGG